ATTATATGGAAGTGGTGATGGAGTGTCAATGTAAAAAGTCCATTGAAAGGAAAACGGTTAAATGACAATTATGCAGAGCCTGTTGTTTGCTCCAACAGTGATGGACAAGGTGATGACAGTAAGCTGACATTCTTGCAAAAAGAAGGGTGGAATGATCCAGCAAAATTTTCAAAAAGACTAACTAGTCAGACTTACACTGCACTTCATCATACAGTATATGGATTATTGGAATTAGTAAGGTACTGTAAATCTCAACTGCACAGTAATTATACAGGGTGACTTCGAAGTTGAGTCATTTATTTTAACAATGAGTAGATCTGATCAAAAGAAATGTTTTTTTCCTTTACCATTTTTCTGGTAAAATTAAAGTAACAAAGTTATAGCCCTTTTGGAAGTTTGAGTACCGCCCTGTCTCAATAATAATATTATGTGCTCGTGTTTGGCAACAACGGATATAATCCGCCTTATCGGTTCATCGCATCGGAAACAAAAAAGCGAAAGAATTTGGAACGATGTTTTTACAATTATTTTATACAGTTGTATACAGTCAGCGTCAGTCGGTAACGCGTGAGTGAATAGTGGTGTCTGTTGCATGGCTCAAACGAAATCAAAAATGGCACATGTTTACGAAAATGCTGAACTTGTGGACATGATTCTTATTTACGCGGCATCACGGATTTATGCGGATCGGTTCCCCAATCGAGTGCAACCAACCCCTCGTGCCTTTGTTAATGTAGTACAAAGGGCTCGTGAATCAGGTGACATAAGACATCACAGGGGAGAGCATGCCGGTGCTCCAAGACCGCACGATCAAATACAGGTCCGCACTGAAATACTTGTCGGGAGGATACTTTATAAAACAAGGTAACATTTTTTTTAATTTTTTTTTATTTTTGCACACATATTTTGGTTTACCTTCCTTCTACAATCATTATCTGAAAATTAATGACTCAACTTCAAAGTCACCCTGTATATTGTCAGGTAAATTTCAACCTGACTCATTTGAAAATAGATTTGGTAAGTATCGTCAACTGGCAGGGGGTCAATATAATATATCAATTCGTCAGTTATATGAATCTGAGAAAAAGTTACGAACTCAAAGCCTTATGTCATTGAAGTCTCGCTATGGTGATATACAAATAAATAAATTCCGTGAAAATGATTATTTAGAAATAGATGAAATTCCACACAATGTTAATGATTACCACTTTTTCCGGGATATTGATAGTATAAAGGATTAAATCCCTGTCATCACCTACTTAGCTGGTTACTGTTATTAAAGAAAAATCACTGAGATCATTGTTAGGAAAATTTGACACACACAGATGATATTGACATAGAAGACAAGCACAACATAATACAGAATTTGAGTAGAGGTGGCTTTAAATTCGCAAAGGATCCAGTTATTAATATTGTCAGGCTAAGTTATATAATTTTCAATACAGTTTTGGAAAGTGACGAGGAATGATTTTTAGAAATCACTGGTAAGAGACGCGCCCTTTCTCAGTTGATAATTAACAATCTGGGTGATAATAATCATGACACTTTATTTTCGCGTTGCACAGTCCATTCGCCAGATTATGTTATAAAACTAGTTGTTATTTGCAGTCAATACATTTTTGAAAAATGACAAAAGGAACGACAGCTTGCAAGCGCGAATAAAACAAAGAAACGTAAGTTGAATACATTCATATGAGGCATCAACATTTACATAGCTGTAGATAAATATTTATTTGTACATATTCAGAATTTAGTACTTTAATTTTTTTTATTCTAATTTTTGTTATTTTTGATACTTGTTTTATGTTTTCTAATTTTTGTTATTGTTTTGTGCTGTATTTTGTTTGTTCTTAGAGTTTTTATTAGGTTTTCATTAATCTTTGTTAGGTTTTTTCTGTTGTTTATTTTACTATGATTTTGTCTGTTTTTCTTATCATTTATCCTACACTTTTTCCTCCTCATCTTCCTTATTCCTTTCCTGGCAAGAGCTTACCTCAGACCTCCTCATGCTGGACACAACTGTTCGACAAGCACTACATTTTTTATATAATTAGTACCATTATATTATGCCTATAATAATAATAAATTGTCCACATATTCCTGTGAAATTTTGTTGATCTGTTGTGACTAACATGAGGTTATTCATTGAAGAATTTATCATTTTTAGCAAGCTTTTATAATATCAACTTATTACTCTAATGTGCACGTAATGTTGGATGAAATATCAGTGAAAATCAGGGTGAAAATAGTCAATAACTACTTTAATATTTTCCAACAAGTTGCCTTCATATACCAAAAACACTTTTCTGAATTATCCGTTCTTTACGTCAGGTAGAGTATATCAAATATGCTGCAACAATAATATATTATTCACTAGCGCTGATGTACGGCACGCCGTGCTGTCGGCCGGCCTACTCGTGGTGACGTCGCGAGTCTGTTGTCAGGCCTTGTACTCTCGGTGGTAACGGTTAGTGCCCAGTAGCCGAACTTATTTCACGTCACGATCGAACCTCGATGCTCGAGGACAGTCGGCTGCAGCACCCAGCACGGAAAATGTTATAGCTTCCTTGACTTTTAACTTATCGCGATATCTTTTCCGATTTGTAGAAGGTACCAATAATTATACTATCATATACAAGTAAAACTAGCAATATTTCCGACTATAGGAAACTTCCTAATTATAACACTAAAGGCTTTTGGTGAAATCTGGTCAAACGACAAGTACACAACACTTTTATATACTAAGTGACATATAAATCCGAACACATTCCGGTTTTTATACTGCTTCCTTTTAATTTACTAGCGCTCTGAAAATGAATATTTCAGCCGCAGTAAAGAATCAACGTTGGCGGATTTTGGTTCTTGACATCTTTTACGATCGGTTACGATGCCTAGAGTACGGAGACCTGTACGATTTCGTCAACTTAGTGAGTTTGATAGGGGCCGTATAGTGGGACTTCGGGAAGCTGGACTTTCTTTTCGGGCAATTGCAGTTAGAGTGCAAAGAAGTGTAGACACTGTGGTTAGGTGTTGTCAGGCATGGCTTCGAGAAGGCCGTACGCAAAGAGCAAGGGGCACTGGCCGCCGCCGTAGAAAAACAGACCGTGAAGATCGCCGCCTAAGATTATTGGCCTTAAGGGACCGTTTCTCCACTACCAGGTCCATTGCAAATGAATGGTTTGCAGAACACGGAATGGGATCAGGAATGGATTCTTAAAGACTTGGTCAAGAACCTCCCGAATACCGCATCTCGATATCGGTTCCGAAAATATCGAGATTTGAATTTTGGGTAAAATTTTTATTGTCTTTAGTGACGAGTCTCGATTTTGTTTAGGCATGCACGATGGTCGTGCCAGGGTTAGAAGGCGATGTGGTGAAAGGAGGAATCCACAGTTTTTTGTTGAAAGACATGTTCATCACACTGTTGGAGTTATGGTTTGGGGTGCTATAGCTTATGGTTCCAGGTCACCTTTAATCTTCATCAGAGGTAACATGAACGCGCAGCGTTATATTCACGAAGTTCTAGAACCCCATATTTTACCCTATCTTGACACCCTGGCAGATCCAACTTTCCAACAAGATTATGCCCGACCACAAGTTGCAAGAGTCACAATAGACTTCTTTCAACATAATGATGTCACATTGTTACCATGACCACCAAGATCTCCCGACTTATCCCCAATTGAGCACGTGTGGGATATGATGGGTAGGAGATTGCTCAATTTGCAACGTCCTCCTCAGACTCTAGAAGCACTTCGAGAGGAGTTGGTGGTTGCCTGGAATGAGATACCACAGGAGGACATTGACCACCTGATCAGAAGCGCGTTGGAGAATGCGTAGCACATCAGGGTGCATCCACACATTATTAAAGGTCAAAGGGCTTTAAAGCAGCATTTTGAAATTTTTATCATTTACCTATTATGCTTCATTAAGTACTTATACAAAACTTTATTAAAATAAAACCATTTAAACTGGGTGTTCGGATTTATATCTCACTTAGTATAGTTAATGGTGATATGCTGAGTCGCAGTTGAATTGGTTCCCGAGGCTCCTGATCGTTTTTTAAATTCCGAAAATGGTTCGTGGTACTTGTTGTGGGAGTTTTTGAGGTTAGGGAATTATTTTTGAAGTGTTTCTTCAAAATACGGTAAGTAACGGGTCGCTTTCCACTTTTGACGTGAAGAAGAATTCTCGTATGTTTTTAAAGATGTGAATTTTCATAGTTGTAAGCTAATATACATAAATTGCTTTTTCTCGACTGTCACTGTTTTTGGGTTTTCAAAAATATAAGCTATGTCAAGAATCTGGAAGGCTCGTGCTTGACCTACATAAACCTTGAAAGGGCATCCAAACCCGCCACTGTCTTGAACTAGGGAATTCGTCACGCATACCCTGATAAAAGTCCCCCATGGTGGGATTTTAGCGTCTCCACGGCAATTAATTTTGCGCTAATTCGGGTTGAATTCGGTCCCATTAATTCGTGCACATCGCAGCATCATGTAGCCGTATTTGGGAGTTGCATCGGCCTGCGTATAATCAGTTAATTTTGCACTCCGAAAATTGCCGGCTTTTGAAATACGATACCCTTTTAGCCTCGGTAATGGATATTTTACATATATCAGCACCATATTACCTTTTTTGTTGAAGATAATGCATGTATGGGTATAATTTGCATGGTACTTAACCATGATTACTATTAACCAAATTATCTGGGGTATAGGGGTTTCTAAGAACTCAACTCAATATATCTGCTTCCTCAGATTAATTCTGCTTATACCGAATCAGTTTGCGCTAATTTTGTTTAAGAGACGGCAGTTTGAACAGTTTTAGACTTTCGAACGTTGTCATCCGCTGTTCGACCTGAAATCGCTTGTCTCTCCGTCGCGAATATACAGGGTGTTCCGAAATTGAAGGCTAATCCTGCAACTGTACATACGAGGGATGTCCTTTAAGTTTTGCATATGGAAATAAAACAACACGGTAGGTAGTTTTAAATGACTTTATTGTTTTTCGAAGTATTCTCCAGGAATTTTAATACACATCTGCATGCGCTCGAACCAATTTTAGAAGCACTTATTCCACTCGTTTGCTGACAGATCCAAAACGGCATTTTTGAATGCGTCAACTGCTTCTTCTGGTGACTGGAACCTTTGACCACGCAGTCTGTTTTTAATTTTCGGGAAAGTAAAGAAATCGCTAGGACTTAGGTCGGGACTATGTGGAGGATGGTCCAATAATTCCACGTTTTCTTCCGTTAAATACTGCCTTGTTTTGTGGGCTGTGTGCGAGCTTGCATTGTCTTGGTGGAGGATGATTCTTCTTTCGGGGTTGATTTTTCGAAGCTCGGTGATGACTTTTGGGAAACAGATGGTGGTATACCAATCCGCAGTAACAGTTCTTTGCTCATTCAGAGGAATTGTTGCAAGATGACCCGCTTCTGACATAAATGTCGCGATCATCTTTTTCGAATCAGTTCGAGAACGGATGACTTTTGTTGGCTTTCCTTCACCTTAGAACACCCAAACAGCCGACTGTCGTTTATTTTCTGGTTCATAACAGTAAATCCACGATTCATCACCACCAACAATGCTGTACAGATTTTTTGAGTTTCCGAAATCGAAACGGTCAAGCGTTTTTTGACACCAATTAACCCTGGCTGCTTTCTGCTCTTCAGTCAACAGGTGGGGTATCCAACGAGAAACTAATTTTCTTACTCTTAATTCTTCATGTAAAATTTTTTGAATTGAGGTCTTTGAGTTCTTCAAGGGCGTCTCAATTCCGCGATATATCACATGTCTATCTTAAATGACAGGTTTGCGCACAGCATCGACGTCTTCCTGGGTGACTGGCGTTTTTGGTGCACCCACCCTGGAATCGTCGCTAAGGCCCATATCGTCAGTCGTCCCTACAATTGTAGGGCGCCCTTATGGCCTCCTTGATTGTCATAGTTTTGTTTTTCTCCGTGTCAGCGCTCTATTTTGAGCTTATGTCACAAACATCTATTTGCATCAAATTGTGCTTGCTTTTGAGTTATATCATGTTCTATCTGCCTGAAATTTCCTACAATTTAAAAGGAAAACATATCTTCACAATAGGAGAGCGCTGACGCTGACACGGGACAAGTGTAATCTAGAAATTTTTGAATGAGAGAAAGGAGTCTGACAATCAAGGAGGCCATAAACGCGCCCTACAATTGTAAGGACGACTGACGATACGGGCCTAAGACTCACCCGACCACGTTTGAATTCTCCCTACCAATGGGAAATTGTCGACTGATGTGGCGCTTCGTTGCCGAAAACAGACAGCAACTCAGCAAGGCATTCTTGTTGCGATAATTGTCTCTGAAAATGTTCTCGGTTGAGGGCCATTTTTCTAGTGACTTAATGACACTTAAAAATTCACTGTAGCGAGACACTGCACGTATTGTGAAACTTTGAATTTAAGTTTACTAAAGAGTGAGGTTAAGATTCAGTCTTGACGTTCGATCCGAGCGGCCTACTATGTTTCTATATGCAAAACTTAAAAGTACTTGATGGTAAAATTTTGTTTTAATAAAAGTCTCACTACAGTTTTTGAGATTATCAGCATCCATTTTTTTTAAACTGGCTTATATTCAGTTAATCCGATGCTGTTCGTACAGATATCAACTTTTTTGAACCAGGTTTATTTTAAAACACTCAGAATTAAGCAACTTATCTCATCCAGCATTATTTTTCCTTAAGGTGGCGAAAACCCCACATAAAACTCACGCCATGGCCTGAATGCTTATTAAAACCCCTCTCTATTCAACACCGTCTTTCACAGCGATCCGTAGGACTTTTGCTCTTGGTTAAACTCTTGTAAATCAGTAGGTCTGTCAGGTCTGGTTGCCCAGATACCAGATAAAGTCGAGGAGAAAGAAGGTAAGAAGAAAGAAAGGAAAGAAAGAGGGAAAGCAAAGAAGAAGTGCATCAATTTGAGGGGTGCCTTGGCATCGCTAACTAGTATTCGGCAATTTTAATTTGATCCAAAAATTAGCTTAGAGATTGGTTGTTGAAGAAAATCTATAATTTTGCTTGGACATAAACTCGCACAATAGATTTTTTTTCACCGTGCGAGCCGCGGCTTTGTGTGCTTGCGAACCTGCTCGACTTTGTAGTCTACTGAGTGTTGCTGAGCGATTCCGCTTGACTATAACTTAGCTGCGCTTGTTGTTTGTTGTAGTTCCTTAGTTGAGGGATGTCAAGGTTGCTGTGAGGGGTCTTATTGGAGACATACCATGGGGCGTTAACGATTGTTCACAAGGATCTTGTCTGCCAACTACACAAATGCGTATTGGCGAGAAAACACCAAGCCGCACTTGCGTAAGTGATTGCTGGTCTAATAAACATCTTGTATAGCCGAAATTTGGTGATCAAACTTAATTTTGAGGTTCCACATAGCACAGGGTAGAGTTGCCGAACCGAGATTTGTAATTTAGTTTTTAACGCTCCAGTATGCTTCTGCCAGGTCAGACCCTTGTTAAGATTGACACCGAGAACTTTTCCATGGTACCCGAGCTCCATTCACTAAAACCCCAGACGGGGCGCCGCTACGTTTTTTAGTACAATAGATAGATTGGGTTTTCAAGTGATTCATTAGTCAACATAGAATTGAGAGGAAATTTGATGACACTGTGCAAATCGGTAGAGCAATATGGTTGAAGGGATGTTCACATCAGATTATTTCACCGCAATGGCACAGATTCATTGTTATTGATCAATAAAATTGCCAAATTAGAACGCGGCTTAATTTTGATCAGCCATTCCAATACCTCGTCAACCGTGCCTTGCAGCACGTCTGGAACGATATTCCCAGTACCCGACTGAGCCACCAAGGCAGTGTCTCCAGCATAGAGATAGATTTCACAAATTCCCGGGCAAGAGTCGTCATGAATAAAAAGTGAATAAAGGATTGGTCCAAGAACCGAACCTGGAGGATTATCGGCTTTGATGGGCCTTGTTATCGATATAACGTTTTTAATGTTGATCCGAAATTTCCTACCCACAAAGGAGGATTTCAAAAGTTTTAGGAGCCAGCAGAGGAAGCCCTTATGAATCAATTTGTAGAGGAGTCCCTTGAGCCACACCTTGTCAAATGCCTTTGAGACATCCAGAAGCAAGATGCCACTGCTTTCGTTACGGATGAATCCTCGGGTTACTCGTTCAACAAGCCTACCCGCCTGTAACTCCTTGTTCAGACTGAAAGCCAAATTGCACGTCAGGAATCACATTGTGGCCTGACGATAAAATTTTAGCGAGCTTAGAAGGAGCTGACAGTAGACTAACGGCGCGGTAATCCTTGGGGAATTTCGAACCCAACTTCTTTGGAATCATTGTCAACACCGCAGCCTAGTTGACAAGAACGACAGCTGTCAAGATTTATGTATAGCTCGGGGTATCGATGGAGCTATTTGGGGCGTCATAGCGTTAATTTTAGAATTTTCACTTGCAATATTTCAAGTGTTTTTCAACGATTTTGAGAAAAGATTCACTACGCAAAGTCTTATAAGGCACAGGAGAGTACAGGTATATTTCAAAAGTTGGCCGGCTTTGCTCCACTGGGACTACCCGATTAATTAAATTTAAAAAAACAAGTAACCGGTTATTTTTGCACAAACCTAATGTATGTTTCCCGAGTATCGTCTACCGAGGTGAATAGCTGATCACAAAAGCGGCATCTTCTTATCAGTCTTTAACGATGGCGATGATGAATTCGAGGACCGTATTCAGATCTGTTTTTCATATATCTGGATTATACCTTTAAGTGATTGTGGGTCCGCAGATAACCAATGTTTGCTGGAAAATTATTACGGTACATCTGGCTTCGTTGGGATGTTCTTAATAGAACATGGTCTTGCTGGTTCCCAACTACATTATACTGAGCTCTTTCCACCGACCTTCTGCTTCTAGACCATAAGCTTCTTTAAAATTCCGTTTCAATATATTTAGAATCTCCTTATCTTTATTTTACTTTCTCTTAAGGTTTTCTAGGCATTAATAATAATAGTAATAATAATAATGATGATAATAATAATAATAATAATAATAATAATAATAATAATGGTTTATTACACGAATCGTGCTCACACCAGTCCATACAATAATTGAGGATTAGTAGCAAGAGTAAAAAAAATGACAAACAGTACATATAACAAACAAACGCTGCAGATCACACACAATAGTTAGAAGGGTAACAATAAAGGGCACACGAGTTAAAATTATAACAGACTACGTCCAGTCATTAACAAAATGGCACAAGAGGTAAGACCACAATAAATAGTATACAAATTATATTTGAATCGGATAAAAAAAAGAAATCGTAGAACGAAATATCATTACAGTTAAAACTATTGGAGGAAGCTGTGGTTGAGGAACTCGTCAGTGGTGAAAGCTGTTAGAAATCTTAGTTTTTTAGGTGATATATTGTAAAATTTTACACAATGGTAGTTAACTCCATTTCTCGTTTTAGCAAGACTATATTGCTTTGGGTCTTTGTGTCGGGTGTTATATGCATGAGTTTCATGGTGGGTGGCATAAATGTCATGAGTTGAATTAACATACAAGAGGCAGCAAAGTATACAGGGTGTAAGCATTATGATATTTATTATTTAAATGGGTTTAAAAAGCAAAAATTTTCATATAACATGGGGGTCAAAACGGCATTTTTTTAGAGTAAAAGCGACTTTAAGGTAAAATAAAATCTGACAATGCCAGACGCAAATTACGACGGAACGCAGTGTAAATAAAGATGTAGTTTGCTATTTTTGGCTCTTAGGTATTATTTCATTATTTGATAATGTACTCCTAAAATGCAAACAATTAAAAAAAATGGACTAACTGTCACAGCGCTTCACCTGGTGTGTGAAAGTTTATTGAACGTATTAAAGAAATCCACTTATAAATAGGGAACACAGTTTTGATACTTACATTGTTTTTCTTTTTAAAACCCACACTGCACTTTTTTGTATTTAAAGAAGGTGTTCAAAATGCCGTCATCCGCTTTCCACACAAGCTTCATTACGACGAACCCAGTTTCTTTTTACTCTAGGTCCTCGAAGTTGTCCATTTATTATTACAGCCGCATTAATTTTTTTTCGCGAAGTTGTGCTTCAATTGTGATTGTACCAGCCTCATAAACCATCCCTTTAAGTTCTCCTCAATACCAGAAATCCATCGGATTGAGGTCAGGAGATCTTGCTGGCCATTTTCGAGGGTCAGGAGCATTTCGACCGATCCAGCGATTTGGATAATGCTGATTCAAATACTGAATGACGCCTCTAAAAATGTGTGGTGGTGCCCTGTCATGAAGAAACCACAAATTCTGTCTCCGTTGTAATGGCATGTTGTCTAAGGTCTGTACTAAAAGTTCCGGTAGGTTATTGGCTAGAAAGCTAAGGTATCCTTCTCCTGACAACTTTGGGGGTAACTCGAAAGGGCCAATTACCTGATTGTCAGGAATACCCGCCCACATTTTTTTTAATTTTTTTTTTGCACTAGGACATTGCGTCCCATTAGCCAGATCCAATTTTGTATTTGTATATACTTAATTATGGACAAACACACGACGTCACAACATCCATGGTGAAGGCGAGAGCCCAAAATTTATCTTGAAACGTTGTTGGAAATGACCTTCACGAATGGTATGAGGATTTTCTTACGTCCACGTGTGAGTATTATGGAAATGTAATAAATATCCCGTCTCGTGTAAAAGTACGTTCGTCCGTCGCTAGAATGTCTTAAAAAAACGGATTTTCAATGTTTTTGTGTAAAAGCCACTGACAGAATGTTATTCTGCGAGGATACTCTTAGTCTTCTGGTAACAAGGCCTGCACTCGTTGTGCATGGTAGGGATAAAGCAAATTTTCCCGTAGGATTCTATGGACTATGGTATGAGATAGTCCTACGCGGGGGCCTAATTCCCGAGTGCTGATATCTGCATTGATTTCCACGGTATATAAAATTCGTTCCTCCTGCTCTACAGTAACCTGTCTTTCACGAGTGCGAATATTAGTGGGCTGAACACTTCCGGTATCTCGAAGTCTTTGGTACATTTGCAACAAAATCCTTCTGTCTGGGTGTACCCGTTGGCGAAATCTGTCGCGATAAATTTGAGCTGCAAAATTTGAATTCTGACGAGCTTCACCGTGAACTAACAACACGTCAGCGAACTCTTGATTCGTAAACAAACACGACGACGTACGCGAACAAAAACAAAACACGCCCGATAAGAGCGATGACGACGCGCTGTTGTCATGTGGGTTTTAAATATTTAATTTAATGAAATTTTTTTACTTACTGACTACAAATTTTGGCTTAACTTAGAAAAACTTAATGACATTTATTTGTAA